CGGGAACATCCTCAGTGATTGAGATGGATCTTGTTGCAGAGGACGGATTCAGATCCCGTGTGTGTTCAGGTTTGGAGGAAGCGATGCGCTTCGAGAAGATGTGCAGCTTTTAGAGAATCAAATGATTGAGTAACAACTGAGAGCTTCACATTTGTTTCATGAAAGGAGGAGAGCTGATCAATTTTATTGTCTTGACTGGGATTTAAAAAGGTTCTTTTAGGAATGAGACAAGAAGAAGGAAAGACATGTCGTCCTCAAGCCAGTTTTCTTCTGGGAATCACACTTTTCATCTCTTCTCTGATTTTCTGTGAAGTGAAGTCTCCAATAATAGTGTCCAATAATCCCTGAATCCAATGTCCATGTATATTTAGTGAAAACACTGTCTCATATTAATTAACGGCCTCATCTCAGCCTCCTCTGAATGCTGCTGCTGCAGGAGGCGGGGTCTAATGATACCTCTCTGCTCTGATTGGATCAATGGCCCAATTTATCTGCAAAAAATTCACAGCAAAACATCACGACTTGCAAATTAAGGTTTTAAGAAAAAAAGCTTAGCTCTACTTTAAACTTCAGGAAAGAAGGAAATCAGTTTGCTCAAGTAAACGCTTCTCTTGTCAGCGGGAGACGGGCTGAAGGGGAAACAGATGTTGGCAGACAAGCAGGGCGACGGGGAAACAGCCGAATCACAGAGAAAGTGAGGATGAAGGACTGAGGCAGACGGAGGGAGAGAGTCGTTAGCCTGGATATGGATGGTGAGGAGGCTGGAGAGCAGAGGTTATCGCTGCCTCCGTTATAAATTCCCCCTGTTCCTGATCACAGCGTCCGGAGCCAGGCGGCACAGATACATGCTGTTTGGAGAAATCTGCAGAGCAACCGCACACAGAGGTTTTTACAGCCTCCATAAATACAGTGATGCACGCACAGAGAAATGAACAAACAGTCAGAGACGTGGGGATATTTACGGGACGGCTTCACCTGACGACGAGGAAAGAAAGAAATCTGTGACGGGTCAAATTTAGAGAATGATTACACACAGAATAAAGCCACTGCAGAGGTCAGAGGTCACAACCCTGACTGATTTACACATCAACTGAAATGTTGTTAACAGAGAGAGTGATTTATATTCAAAGTATGGAAATGACCTACGGCACTGAAACACCACGGCAGAGTGCAGACAGTGTTTAAGATGCAGCCGGAATAAACACGTAAAATAGAAAATACTGAATAAGTGTCTGAAAGTTTGTTTCACTTTTTGAAAAAAACTGATTTCAAAATGGCTTTAAAATGCAAAGTAAATCCGTCACTGTGGCAAGAAACAGAAAAATCCATCTCATGTTTACCAAAAATACTTTCTCAGATATTTTGCTCTGCACATTTTCTCTAGGTTTTGATTTGTGCAAAAACAAATCAGCGAGAAAAAAGATTTGAAAGGTAAAAAAGCGATGCCAGCCTTTTTTATTTTTACAATGTTGAAGTTGTTTGAACTCAAATTTAAAATCTTTCCAGCTATATTATCAGTTTCCATAGAATTGATTCTATTTCTATTTATAAAGATGTTAAATTTACATGTAAATACAAGTGAACATATTCAAAAGGACGACAGAAGAGTTTTCATTTTCCTGACCAAATAATAACAATACACTAGAATAATTCAGTCCTGATCCACCCGAGGTCTAATCTAAAAGTAAAGGTCGAATAAAAAACTGATACCTGAACGACTGAAAACCAAAACCAAGACTGTTGGGACCCGACAGGTTGAGCCAGGGCTGGGAAAAGATTTTGAAATTAAATTTGGGTCTGGTTGGATCATGTTGGCTCTGGGCAATCCACTTGATTTGTACACTGCGTGTGTGATCCGGAAAACATCCGATTCAGGTCGGGTTCGGACTTAAAAATGCGTCCTGAGACTTCCTGAGGGTCGTGTGGTTAGCTGGAGTCAATCCCGGCAGACCAGGCGAGACGGGTACATCCTGGATGATGGTCAATTTAGTATCTTCGATTCTAAATCTGTATTTCTTCAGAACGTGGGAGGAAGCCAGAGGAGCCAACAAGGGGCAAACGTGCAAACTCCACACAGAAAGACGCCAACAGAACCAGGATTCAAACCGGGAACCTTCCTGCTGTGAGGCGACGGGGCTGGAAACCGCACCATGCAGGTTTCCCTTCAAACAATATAATGTTCTGAACCAACTCCCTGTTATCTGAGCTGTAGGAGCCACATTTTACATCTTAAAGAAAGGCTTTAGTTGTGATTGGTTTCCATGAAGCTGACACAACACTTTAATCATAATTTGACTCTAAATCTTAAACTTTTAACTTATTTCGTTCTCTAGCATTAAGAGATCTGTGTGCATGGTCGAGTAAGTACTTGGCCCCCTTTTGTTAATCTGTGTTCTGACAGCACATCTACCCTCTGACTCTCCCCTGTTGTCTAATGGGGGAGAGTCACAGCCCACAGCGTCCTTTTCTTCCAGCTGAGCGGCTCCTGTCAGTCCCTGCAGTCGGGTCAGCGATGCTTCGAGATCGTTAGGGCTCTGAGGCGTCCTGGAGGGAAGACCTGCAACTAATATCACGCTTCACGGCCCCGTCAATACCCCACAGTCCAAAAAACAAAAAGACAAGCTCTGCCTAAGCGCCCACAGGACGTCAAAGGACACACGTTCACTCACCCTGCTGCTCGCCCAGGTCAAAACCACCGAGGAGAAATCATCTGTCATCTGTCTGGAGGGAAACTCGAGAGCAGCGCAAAGCCGTCACATGTTCAGTCACGATAACAGGAGGTTAGTCACTCATGCAATGAGTTATTCAGAGACTCAGAGAATCCAGTGTTTTCTTCCATCCATGTCACAAACAAATATTGTTTGCATCTTTGGTCGGTGATGCGCTAAAATTGAATAAGGGCAGTAACCTACATCTGCTCGTGACGTGTGTCAGAACAAGGAGCACTCAGGTGTATCGTCGGTCCGTTGCTGTCTTGAGGCAATGAAAAGTAATTGTGCTTTTGACTGATTTCAGATGTGCAGGATTTCACTGTGATTATGAAGACACAGAATCGAGATAACAAGCAAGTAGATGGATGCACAACATGCAATAAAATCACAATAACAACGTGCTGCTTCTTAATCTGCCCACACACCTGGTTTTCAATGGGAGATGCTACTGTGCATGTTACAACCAAATCACACCCATGATGAACAAAGAACAGCTGTAAAACTATTAAAAGTGTAAAAGCTCTTTGCACGTTATACCATGTTCCAGATCATTAAAACAACATAATGTTATAAACGTGCAGATGTGCACAGATTCCAAGGTTTGGATAGAATGCAGCTGCAGCCTAAATCTCCGGGGAGCTCATGTTGCCATCCACTGCTTCAGTGGTTTCACAGAGTTTTCATCAACTTCACCCACAACACTGCTGCTGTCTGTTCCACTAACCTCAAACTCTCCAGTGCTTCCCCTGTTTCGCCCACTTTCCAAGACGGACTGATGGAAAACGTAAGTGCAGCAGTCCATCACACGCTAACTCCTCTGATGCCCCCGAGTTCAGTAATTTATGATACCAACAGTAATCTGGAAGAGGGGCTTTTTAAAAGGTAGAGAACAGGACTGTGAACGTCTCCTTTTCACTAATGTTTCCTAACATTTATTCATTCTTGAGGCCAATGAGAAAAAAAACTTCGATAATGAAACAAAGCCAGTTCTGTGAAATGAGCGAAGCTGCACATAAACTAAAAATCTTCATGAAGAGGAGCTCTGCTGTTTGTCGTATTGTTTCTGGTGAGGTCTGTGCATCTGGTTAAAAAACACACAGTCCAGCTTTAAACTGCGAGAGGAGTCTGTTTCTGTGGGAGGTTACTGCCTCAGGCGGAGGAGTAGACAAAGCATGTCTGCGCTGTGCAGAGACCTCTCGTAAACAAGTCAAGTCTGCATGTTGCACCAAGATCTTTCTTTCATATTCAAGGGGACCAAGCACTGAACACCTTTACTGTAGGAGGGTTGAGCAGAAATGTTGGAAAGTGTGCATCACCTCTAAAAATCTAAATAAAAAGAGTGGAGTTGTATTTCTAATCTCAGGTTTCCACAGACTGTAAACTTCCTCTTCAGTTTACGTTACAGGTACAGAATGTATGTCACGCACTGTAAATGTCTCTTGTGGAAATTTTTACCCAAATTCTTGATTTTGGCTTTGAACGTTTATTTGAGCTCATAAATAAGAAACTGCTGCACAGGTTGTCTCTGCTCAGAGACTGAAGCTTCATGCACGTTGCTGCTAAATCACAGAATCACATAGATTTACGTGACATGAGAGCAAACCGATGATCATCAACTGAATCGCCCCTTTACTCACAACAGAAAACAGACTGGGATTTGAAGTAAAGCCAATGAAGAACAGATTCTCCATCTTTGTTTTTTCCCTCTTCTTTAAAACATTCCTACTCATCTCTCAAAAAAAAATAGGGGACGTTTCTGTTTTGGTCCACCGGCTCGCTGGCCAGAGCCAAAAGCCCGACACAGCCTGCAGCAGGTGTTGTGAATATAAAGTGGGAGTACATCAGTCATTGGCTGCTTCATTCAGTATGCAAAATAAAAATGAGTTATACAAAATGAGGCCTGGCAGGAGGCTGCAGAGGAGCTCAAATACAGCTGCACAACAAATTAGAATAAACACACAATGTTAAAGCAAAAAAACAGATACTTCGTTCTGAAAGAGTTCATCACCAACAGTCTGGTTTTAAAAAAACTGAACAAAGTAGAGCCAAAGCAAGGTGTTTACAATAAAAGTGAATTTATTAATGATATTCAGCCCCTTCAAGATTCAGTTATGTATTTAAACAACTCTGAACTCCAGGAGACGCAGTTGTGTGTGATGTGATTTATGTAAAAAAGCATTGATTTACTCAGGATCAACAGGCAGGAGATTTCTTTTGTCCTGATCCGTTCCCTGTGTTACTTCCTGGACTTCCTGCATTACTTCCTGGTCTATTTTGCAGTCACTTCCCTCTGTGATCACCTGTTCAAACCCTGATGTGTTGCACCTGCGTCTCAGTTTGTTTTGTTCCGTTCCCTGAAGTTCCTGTTTCGTCAGATTACCTGGGTCTGGATGGATTTCCTGAGTTTTGCCTGTTGGTTCCTCTTTCAACCTATTTGCATGTGAGTCTGTGTTTCTATGTGTTTGCATGTGGGCATACTGTACTGTCATCTGTTGGATTCTAAACTCAACCATACAATCAATACTCTAACCCTTAACCTTAGAACACGTCTTCACCTTAAAATGTAATGATAAGTCGGGTGAGTAAACAGATGTAGGGTCCTTCACTCTACTTTTTTGTATGAGGATGTGTGTGTGTACTTTTTATCTTTTGAAGTATTGAGTTTAAACATTTTCGTCTGCAGTTTAATACATTTCCTGGCTTCTTACTTGCTCTTTAATTTGTTCTGAATGTCTCACCATTAGTTTTTTTATCTAATGCATCATTCAGATAGTTTTTTTTTCTCTTTATATCTGCTTTTGGGTTTATGTTGTACAAAAGTCTATACATGCCCAGATGTTTGATACCAAACTTGTCTAGAATACAAAATATTTGTTTTGTTTTAGCAAATTTCAGTCTGTGCTGTAAGTTTTTTAATGTTAATGGAAAAAGTAACAAGTTCATATGTTAAATCCAAATCAAAAATCAAAAAAGTATTTGAGAAAAACTAAATAAAAGTTCAACTCAATGAACAAAAGTGTGTTTTAGAGTCAAGTCCCAAAACAAGGAGCTGGAAGACTTCAGCAGGGAGTGGCAGTGAAATTAGAGCTGTGACTATTAAATAATCAATTCACTGACAGAAATTTAAAAGCGAAAAATGCAACAATTTGCTGATACCAGCATCTTACATCTGAGGATTATTTTTCTGTGTAGAATCAGATAGAAAACTTTTCTTTGGGTTTTGTTAGTTGGATAAATAATTAAAACACAGTTGACAGTGTCACCTCTGACCGGGACATTTAAACAATTCCTTGAATTATATATTTCCGGTGGGTCGGTGCAGCGTCAGCCTTAATGTGGGAGTTGTTCCAGAACGATTCAGTGAAAAATAAGAAAACTTTAGATTAACCAGTCGATCTACGTTCCGACCTCACCTACGGTCACAAGCTCTGGGTAGAGTCTGAAAGAACAAGGTCCTGATGACAAGTAGCCAAAATGAGTTTTCTCCGTCGGTTGGCTGGACTCATCCTTTGAGACGGGGTGAGAAGTTCAGACATCTGCAGAGAGCTTGGAGGTGAACTGGGAGGAGACTCCAGGGCAGACCCAAAACTCACAGGAGGGATTACACATCTCATCTGGGCAGGGAGCGCTGGGTATCCATCCCCCGGGAGGAGCTGGCGATAAAAGAGACGACGACCCCATCCAACATTCAGGCAACGCTCCGCTTTGTTGCGGAGGCTGGTTGGTTGAGCAGATGCATCACTGCACAAGTATATTTCAGACGCAGCTTCAGAACAAATTCAAGAACTCACACATTATTTATAATTGTTATTTTTATTTAGGGAGCTGAAATGTTCATGAAAGTATTTTACAGTTTAGTTTTTAAACCACAACTTGATGATGACTCAGAGATATCAGCTCCCTGATGTGGGATGACGTTAATTATCTATTGAATGCAGTTCACTTTATTGATGGAACAAGATAAATAAGTTGGAAGAAGAGTAGAGCTGTGGAGCCTCAATACTCCCCTCAGGAGGTGATGGAGGACTTTCTAAATCAGGGGCTGTGAAGGTGCCACAGTTTACACAGAGGGGCCAATTATGCTTCCAAGCACAATTCCTGATTCAGTAAGTTAACTCAGTGTTTACTGTCAGCTCTACAGCCTCACATCACTTTATACATATTTTGAAAGTTATTATTAGTTATTTCTATTGTTACTTTTGTTATTCGTGGACTAATTTATTTTTTTTAAATACACTGACAGGGCAGGGGCAGATCAAATTCCAGATCACTGCCCCAATGCTTTATTCTGCTTTCTGCTCAGGTCTTGAATAATAGATTCTAATTTCATTTGAACTTATAGTCAAATAAAGAAAATTTGAGCATTGACGTCACATTTCTTCCCCCAGGAAGGAAGGAAGGAATGAAAATCTTGTTAATTCTGTTCTAAATCAGTGAAATAATCAATAAGACGAAATCTAACAACAGTACAGAGTAAAGAATCTATAATTACATTTTGAATAGTCACTTTAATTCCTGTTTCCTCTCGGTGAGGCTGCATTCAATTGATTTGCTGTGACTATAAGCCGTGGTGCTGGGGATCCTTTCTGTGAGCGGCAGACCTGAACTGCCGGGTTTCACGATGACAGAGACACTAAGTCACAGCCTGGAGTCTAATGGGACCTGAGATGAGTCTGTTCTCAAACATTGTGGGGACAGAGCAGTGTCGCCTGCAGTGGGTTTTCTGCTGAAGGATCAAGTGCGTTTAATGACTAAAGTACCTTTCACTGGAGCAGAGACAGTAGCGAAAGCTCCCCTCCCTCACTCTCTCTCTCTCTCCCTCACTCTCTCCCTCCCTTCCTCCCTCTCCCTCTCCCTCTTCCACTCTGCAGAGAGCAGCCAAACAGAAAGTAGCCTCGTGCCTCCGCTGTCATTGCCGTGGAGCCAGGCAGATGCTGCTGAGCGCCGTGCACCCAGAAGTAAAAAATTCATCAGGGAAGTGTGAGAGTGTGGAGGAGAAAAGAGGAGGAGGAGGAGCAGAGAGGAGAGGAGAGGCAGCCGGTCTCTCTCCATCACTTGACGGGCTTTTCTGCGGCATCCTTCAACTTCATCATGGATCTCTGGAGTAAAAAAGTGCGAGGAATTATCACACAGCTCGTCCTGGTTCTTCTCTGCTTCTGCGGGGCGACAGGAGGAGGTGAGTGCTGTGAGGTTTTTTTTTTATTTTGGGCGACAGCAGAGATCCGAGTTGTAGAACTGCTGCGGTTCAGTTTCCATTCATATCTAATGTTTTGAAAAAGTGTGGCTCACTTATCTTCGGCTGCAGGAAAAGGTGCAGGTGTTAAGTTCCATGCAGAAGAGATTTATGAGAAACATATTTTCATGGATTTGTGTTCATATTCTATATGATTTCCTTAAACCACATGAGACAGGTGTAGGGTGCATGTGGGTGGAGAAAATTAATTAAAGGCTTATTAGGAAGTTGCCTTTGAGCAAGGCACTCAGAGGCTCAGCTGCTCAGTGGAGCTGCACAGGCTGCAGGAGAAGAACTGTGCCCGTCTCTGCTCATCGTCTTTGCTGACTTGATTTTCTTTATTCTTCATGTTAACCTCCTTTATCATTCCAGTTTTAATTCATTGTCTTTAATTTCTCTGATGATTGCTTTGTGATTTTGCACAGTTGTATAACTATACGTGTAAAATCAGAATTATAGGCTTGGGTTGAGCTGCGCCTTGTTTAGTCTTTTCTGGTGCGGTGGTCAGAGGAGGACTCACACACAGAACCGGAAGAGATTCAGTCCGTTGTGTGGATTTAAAGCGTGTGTATATTACACATATTGCAGGGCTCTGCAGACATTGATAAAATGTGCAAACGTTTCCAAGAACGAGGCAGATACTGTTTCAACATGAGCTTCATCCCGAGCTTGAAGACCTGAGGCATAAAAACAATTAAAACCCAATTATTGTTTGTAAATTACCCCTTAGAAACCTGAGGGTTTCCTGAGGAGCTGTCGGAACTGCCAACGTTTACAAAAACTGTAATTTCTCAGCCAAACAATGGAGTTTAATCATTTGACTTTCATTGTAAATAATTGTTGTTATCCTAAACTTTGCAGTATTTTAAAAAAAACAAACAAACATGTATTCTTACCGACTGAGCCTTGGTCCACAGGAACTCTGTCAGTGTGTAAACCCTCCTCATTGTTATTTTCATCATTCTCTGCTTCATTATCGCTCCCGTCGCTAAGATCGTCTGCCGTCGTCTGAAACGCAACTAAAACTTTTCGCAGGCTAAGAGCGCTAACAATTCCTTTCCCATGATGCATTTTGCCTTTCCCACAAACAAATGTTCCAGCGAATCACAGTTTATTTCAAGTGTCACATGTCTTGAACATGAGATGCACTCGTCAATGAAGTCAGGTGCCACAGGTCACATCATGAGACGCACAACAGTAATTCAAACACGTAGGAGCTGTTGAGATGCAGCTAACACAGCTCAATAAAGTGGCTGTTTGAGGATACATGTTGATGTAGCATGAGACTGATGTTGCATTAAATTGTATTTTGGATCAACATCCATCCATTATACCTCTCTTCCTTTGGGGCTGCAGGAGCCATTGAATCAACATCTGTGGGCACATTTATTTAACATTTGAGAGAATCAAACACCACTAAGGGATTCGGTCTGAACACAGAGGGAACTGATAAATGGTACATTACCACAGCACGTCTATATTTCCCTCCACAGACAACAGCTGCTGGAGACACGCACCAGCATTAAAGGCTTGGAAAGAGTAGAATAAGGGAGATAAAGATTTGTTGACCCTGAAGGAAATGGTTTGGACTCAGCAGAAAGCCAGAGACCATTACCAAAAGAAAAGAAAATGCTGCTGTCTCTCTCAAATCAATGAGTGGTGCTTGAAACCTTTTTCTGTTGCTCTCAGAGAGCAAACCAACAGTGCATCATCCACTTACGTGCCCAGGCCGCTCTCCACATGTTATTTGACTTTGTTTTAGTGCAGATGCCACAGGTAGAAGGGCTCTCTCCAGCTATTAGTCAAAATGACCAGAGGACATAAGAACATCAGGGCGAGGGCACATGTTTCTTTGGCTGGTCACAAGCTCCCTGCTCGGCACTGAAGCAGCAGCATACTCGTTGTGGGTGGAGAGGTCGTTCCTGTGACGGGTCTGAACACCAGCGTTTCTCTCCTCAAGAAAGAAAAAGAGATGTCATTGCACATTAGATCATGTGGAGGTGGAGCTGGATGAGAGCATAGAAGCACTCAGACAATTTAATGAAAGAAAATGCTGAAGAAATTATGACTGGATCAGGACCAGCATCAAATTACACGTGGAAACGGACAATAATGCTGCTTCGTGGGCGGCAGCAGAATATTTAGCAAATCCAGGAATCCTGTCAAGAAATATTCATCCTTAGAGAAACGTATGATTGTGTGGACATATCCGCACTTTGCAAATGTCAATAAGTCCTTCAGGAACACTTGTACACCTACTTATTCATGCAATCATTCAACCTGATATAGTCGGATGGATGAAAGAACAGACGAGCAAAAGTCCAAAAAAACCAGAGTACTAAACACTCATCATCTAATTGTGTATAAATTACACGCCACATGTTGGGACATGTTTCCTGTCATGTCAATGCATTTTAAGCTTTTTGTGTGTCTTTCAATGCATTTGTTATTCGTGCAGCTTACTTTGCAGGGGACTGCGGGACGGTTAGGAGTGTTAAATGCACAAAAAGCAGAAAAAAACGACCACTTGGCATGTTATTCATTCATCTTTCGGTGGCACCAGGCTGAATTATTCAACAAGCCGATCGTGTGGCACCAGTGCAAGTGCTCACTCGCCACAAAACTTGGCCTCTGTAACGCTGTCGCTGTCAGAATGTGGTCTCGTGGAAGCTGCCTGCGGGGGCTTCCAAACTCCCGAAGAGCGTTAACTTAACCCGTACATGTCACAGTGAGGTGCAGCACAGACACGGTGTTTGGAGATGTCATGGTTGTGGAAGAGTGGAGCAGATGCAGGGAGGAGAGATGGTGTGGTTAACGTCTCTGTGTCTCCAGTTGCATAAGTTCCCTACGAGATCATTAACTCTTCTCTCTGCTGATTTGGAGTCAGTGGAGTTTCTGTTTTAATCGCAGGCAAACAACAAATAGTACTACTGCCCTGTGTGTGTGTGTGTGTGTGTGTGTGTGTGAAGATAACGAGTGACTCACCACTCACAGTCAGCGGGAGAGAGGTGCTCTAATTTGTCAGTAGATGCTGAATCTACTCAGAGGGTTTTTGTTCCAAAGTGTTTAGAAGACTGGTTTGTTGTCTGACGTTGATACTGTGCTGACGTGTTATTTAATAAAAGAATTAATGATGGAAGTATTTTCTTTATAAAAACAATGTACTTTTCAGTTTTTTAATACTCAACAACTACACAAATGTATACAGGGCCTGAAAACATTGATGTGTTGATTAAGTTTTGATCAGGACGATCACTATTGAAAATGTTTGTACTGTAATTTCAGAAAATAATGATTTAAGCTTCTTAACTAATTAAGTGTCAAAGCAGGAATCAGTCCCGTCAGGTTTCATCTAAGGTTTTAAGATGCTTTGGTTCAGATCTTCTGTGAACTGAGTGTTTTAATGTCAGGCTCCTCTTCCTTTCAAACTTTACTGTGGCATGTTAGACGTCTTCTTGAGGTCTTCAAGTTAATCTCACTTTCACATCTAACTTGTTTGGTCCAGACCTGCAGAACTTTTCAGTTCAGCCTGAATAGAAAACATCAGGTGAGAAAGGTTTTAGTCCGACAAAAAGAGGTGATCTCAAAGTGAACCGTGGTTCGGTTTGTTTGCAGAGTGAAAACACATTTTTGGACGGTTTGGAAATTTGGACCAGATGAGATGGCATCAAATGAAAGAAGAAGAAAAAGAAGCACCTCCGACAATCAGGACCTTCATTTGGCACATTCATACCGCTGCTGAAGTTTGTGATGAAGCTGCAACAAAATTAATGAAATGAACCTGATTAAATGTAAAGAAAGGAACAAACACAATAAGCTTTGTTTGGACTTAAAGGTGTAAAAACAGCCCAAAGCTCTCTCTCCGTTTCATCGATCATGTCTGATGTGTTCCACACTGTGGAGGAGGATTTAATGGTTTATGTCCAGATAGACCCCACATGTAAATCTCATGACCTGTTGAAGCTTCTTCCCCTGCATCGTGTCTGGATAAGTCTGAATTTGTGCCAGTTTGTCTGAGAGCTTTATAAACTCTGTCGTTTTCTTATCAAGTTCACGCAGAGAGCGAACACTGAGCCGGCTCTTTATTATTTTGAAATGAATCCTCTCCACTGAGAAGAATCAACATTTGAAAACTAATTTTGTTTAAAAAAAGCATAAAACATGAAGAATTCTGGCAATGGAGCTAAAATTTGTCTGTGATGCCAATTTCAGCCCAAATATCAGAGTTTGGTCATTTTCAATGAGCTGGATGTTTAGAGAGAAACAAACGTGCATTTAATCTCATTAGTCTGGATGAATTATGCATTTCCCTGGAAAATTCCACCGTCGTTTATGATTCATGAGAAACTGGGGTTTGTGACAGCGGTGATGAGAGAGAAGTGAAAGGAGGCTGAGGAGAAAGCCCCTCTCATATTTCTTCTTTAGTGTCATTTATGAACATTTTTGCTCACGGAGAAGAAGAAGCCGTGCACGCGACCTGATGAAGTCAGGGCTAAATTAAGGCAGCAGCAGCGGCAATCAGAGCAAACGTGGAGCCGTCAGTCAGGAATCCAGATTTATTAACCCTGGGACAAGTAGTTAAGTGATAAAACTGACAGAGGCCCGAAGTCCATCCATCTGCGTTTGTGACGCATTGATATTTGCTCAAGGCCGTGCCCCACTGGAGCCCTGGCTCACTAAACACACCCTCATTCATCACATGGCCCTGTCATCACCTTAGATGACTTGTAGTTTGTTCTGAAATCTGTCAAACTCTGCTAAGGTCAGCGCTTCCTGTCACACATGGAGGTTCCTACGCTGGACCGAATAAAACACTGGTGTTCCCTGAGCAAGGTGTGAGAGTCTCAGGAGGGTCCGACTGCCTGGGGAAGGAGGGAAGAGAAACCACTGGCTTCAAAGTGAGATGAAAGGATGGAAGAAATTGTTATTACTTTAAATTCAAG